ATATTTCAGTCTTTTTCATCTACTAAACTTGTGAATATTTGCCTTTCATTTTCGAGGCTCCTATGGCAAGTTTGTGCTGATTTAGGCATAGTGGTTGAGCACTGACCTATAAACCAGGAGGTCATGGTTTGATTCCCAGACAGGGCACATACCCAAGTTGTGGGCTCAATCCTCAGTAGGGGGAGTTCAGGAGGCAGCCAATCAGTGATTCTCATCATTGATGTTTCCATCTCTCCCTCCCTCTCCCTTCCTCTGTGAAATAAATAAAAATATTCTTTTTTAAAAAATGAAGAGAAAAAAATAAAATGGGGAGAATGAGTCTTAATATAGAATCATTGATCATCTGGTATCCCAAATTTATAGATAAGGGGACCAAAAGAGGTAAACTGATTTGTCCAAATAAAGCCAGGAATCTGGTTTTATTCTTACTCATTGACCAGAAGTTAATTCATCTATTAATCATTTATAAATCTCAGGGTACCCTGGGAAGATTGCCCTTAAAGAAAATGTCTTACTTTATGTGAATGAAAAAGATGACTATTTAAAAAAATCTTTGATGCTTTCTTATCCTCAAAAATAAAAAAAAAGATATTCAATTGAATAAAAAATCTAAAAGAACCTTAATAAAAAAAATCTAGTTCCTGGTGCTCATTTTATAAACAAAGAATATATTATTATGTCTTAGAAAGAAGTCAAATTTCACTTCTAGACAAATTGGGTTTCATAAAGACCCACGAACAAGTCGTACTACACTGCCAGTTTTACTCCATTGCTTTCATTTAACCATAATTACATTTGTCTTTTTGGTTATTGTTAATTCAAAGGACTACATTTTGATTTAAAGAAATAAAGCTATATACTATAGTCAAAATTACAAAATAGAATAAACTATCAAGTCTCAGATGTCATTTCTTAAATATTACTCTTTAATTGAATATCTTCTAAAACAGGAAAAATATATTGTGTGAACACAGAGGAAGTTGACTTTTACTCTACTCTCCAGAAAACGAGGGTCTATAGAGATAAGTTAAATATTCACAGCATGTTTTTCCTCAGGTGGGATTTGAATCAGACGCTTTTTCCCTCATGGACATCGCTGCCGGAACAAGCCAAGTGGTGATTTCTAGGAGAGGCACCTATGGCTCCATCATGGTTTCCTGGGAGGCCGGATACGCTCCTGGGTTAGAAGTGCCTGAATTCATTGCTGTTGGCAACATGACCCCGCAACTGGGTGAGTTGTAGGTTTTCTAAGATCTGCTCTGTAATACATGGAGGTATGTAATTGGCCTAATTTTCTTGGGTCTTCCTTATTCTGGGAAAATGACCTGTTTGTTTTATAATATAGCTTGGTGAGGATGAGAGAAAGTTTATTCAGTCAAATTAAAAATTTCATACCTCACTGGAAATAGCAGTCACTAAGCTCACTTTATATATCAGGAGTTTGTTAAAAGCAGTTCTAAAAACTTAAATTGGATCATACAATAATAAAAATAAAAAAGGCACACCTTTGTGTTCGTGTACATGTTCACCTGAATATTTGACAGTAGAGCAACTGTTACTTAATCTACGTTCTTTTTCAGTTACACCATTAGTTTTATGAGGGTCGGTGAGATGAAATGTTAGAGGGTTTGACCTGGACCAGGGGTTGAAGACAGGGTAGAGGAGGCAGCGTTTATGTGTTTTAGCGAGCTTGCTGTACGTTTATTTCCCTCTTTCCCCACCTTTAAAATGTTCCTCTTTTCGTAGCCTGTAATAGAATTTTGGAAAAGGGAATATTTCACTACATCTTTCAGAGCCGAATCCCCATTGAAGAACTCAGAAAGGATAGCCTACTTCCCTTTTCATGTTTCCTTCCAGGGAGCCTTTCCTTTTCCCACGGAGAACAAAGTAAAGGCGTCTTGTTGTGGACGTTTCCCAGCCCTGGCCAGCCAGAGGCCTTTGTCCTGCACCTCTCAGGAGTCCAGAGCAGTGCCCCCGGCGGGGCCGAGCTTAGGTGAGATGTCTCGGAAGAACAGTCTGGAACGTATCTTTTGAAACAGAAAAACACACACACAAGAAAACAACAAAAACAAAACACGCCACGAGATCACTTTCCCTGAAGCAGATGCCAAAACGGTTTGTGGTGGAGTAAGGCATGGCCTGCATGCCAGAGATGCCACGGGGCAGGCTGACCTCCACAGAGGCACCGCCACCCTTCGCCTTGCAGACAGCTCACCACCATGGCCTCTGATTCCAGAGGGTTGGCCCGGGGTAACAGCTCCAATAAGAAGCGGAATGGCAAAGTCACCTATTTTCAAAGGGGCTGTCTTTTGAGAAGTAACTGGAAAATACCTGCTTTCCCCCAGGGATTCAGAGTAAGAAGAAGCCGTCACAATAGAGTAATAATATGACTTCTGTCATTGGCTCTTTTGAATTTAATTTAAATCGGAATACTTGCAGATAAATACGTTCAAGCCACAAGCAACTGACTTTTCTCCTGGTTGGGAAGGGCTTGATCAGAACAGCAGAGGGCAGACTTTAGCACAGACTTATGGAGTTAGTCTTGCCACTTACTTGTCACAAGTTAGCTCATCTTGCCACTTACTTGCTGTGTGACTTGGGGAGCGTTACAGGATCTTTCTGTTCTTCAGTTTACTTATTTGGAAAGTGGGAGGGAAACGTATGGGTAAAATTGGTGTGCGTTCAAGTGGGTTTCTGTATATAATATGTTCATGTGTGGGAGATACTGGTTGGTAGCATCAAATATGGCTTTAGTTCATACTTATGTCATTTCAAAAGTGTTTGACCATAGAATGTATTTTAGGGCAACAAATTCAAATGCTTTTTGCTTTAAGAATGATATGTGTGTACTCTTATTCTTCACAGTAGCCGTATGACATAGATACTATTTTAGTCCCATTTTATAGATAAAGAAAGTGAGTCACATATAGATTATGTAACATACCTAGCGTCACACAGATAATAATGGTTGGGGCCATGATTTGAATCTAGCTCTTAACCATTGTGCTATCTGTTATCAGCGCGTTACCATAGAGAGTGGTGGACCCTAGAGTGTCCTTCCTTAAAGGCATTCAAATTCAGAAAAAAAAACCCAAAACTGTTAACCAAAGAAAATATGCCTGTGGTCTGGATTAGGCTGATGATACTTCTGACATAATCATTAACTCACAACAAAACTCTACAGGATTAAAGCTAAGGATTAATCATGCAGTCATGGAAGTTTTCCTCCAGTCCACATATAAAATCCCAGTAGCATTTGTGTGAGGGAATTGGCCCATTATGATGCAAGGATTTTGCATCCAGCAAGGGCAACTATTTCTATTTGGTAGATAAGAAACTTGGCTGACGTCCAGAACGTTCTAAGAATTTGTGGTTTCCTGTGCACTGATCGTAACAGAGAGCCTCGCGTGTCAGGCCTTTCCGAGAGCTGCTCTGGGCTGACTGGGGAAGCAGAGCAGGCTCCTCTGAGCTCCTCACTTTGCTCAAACGTGTGAGGGCCCCTTGCCGCTGACAGCAACTCCTGTTCTTACATTTCCCGTGCTCTGACTTATTCATCAGCAAGTACTAGGGTTTTATGGAATTTGAAAGGGCATGTCATTTTTAAGATGCCCTCCTGCACAGCATCTTAAATATGTGAAAAATGAGTCTCTGGTGTGGTGTTTCTATTTTCATCAATTCTTTTTTTTTTTTTTTCCAGATCAGGTTTCACTGTTGCCGAAATTGAGCCAATGGGAATCTTTCAGTTTTCCCCTAGTTCAAGGCATATCGTTGTGTCAGAGGGTACTCAGGTGATCAGATTACAGGTACAAAGACTCTTTGGGTTCCACGGCAATCTTATTAAAGTTTCCTATCAGACAACCGCAGGGAGTGCCAAGCCACGGGAAGATTTTGAGCCCGTTCAGAACGGGGAGCTGCTTTTTCAGAAATTCCAAGCCGAGGTCCATTTTGAAATAATCATTATTAATGACCAGCTTCCCGAGATAGAAGAATATTTTTATATTAATCTAACCGCAGTAGAAATGAAAGGATTGCAGAAGTTTACACAAACCTCCTGGCGCCCGCGCCTGAGTCTGGATTTCAGCGTGGCAGTGATCACAATACGGGATGATGATGACACAGGTCTCGCTCCCATCGGAACTGACTCCACCGCACACCCCGACGTGACCAAGATAACTGCCACTCCACAGCCAACTGCAGTGGTGGCCACCGATACTGGGGCAACTGCTATTCCTGAGACACCTGTCACCCGGCCCGAGGCGGCCACTGGAACTGCGAATGTTTTCATTCATGGAGCCTTCAGTCTTGGGCCGCCCATTGTTTACGTGGAGGAGGAGATGAAGAATGGGACACTGAACGCAGCAGAAATTCTGATCCGAAGAACAGGTGGCTCTACTGGCAATGTCAGTGTAACAGTTTTATTTTCTTAAATCCCATGATTATTTTGGGCATTACTACCTGAAGCATTGCCCTTTCCCGATGCCTATGGACTGTCCAACCTGACGTGGGCGGTAGAAGAGGAGGACTTTGCAGAACAAACTCTCATCCTTACATTTGCAGATGGAGAAAGAGAACGGAAAGTATTGGTTCAAATTTTGGACGATGATGAGCCCGAGGGGCAGGAATTCTTCTACGTGTTTCTCACAGACCCACAAGGGGGAGCACAGATTGTGAAGGGGAAGGATGACACCGGGTTTGCAGCTTTTGCCATGATCATTATCACAGGTACCTCTCTGGGGGGATGGAGAGAAAAAGGTACCACTTTTGTGGTGTAGGATTTTTTTTATAAGAGTTAAGAAATACAGAAGATAGTTATAAAATATTCATGGGGATCTAAAGTACAGTATAGGAAATATAGTCAATATTCTGATAACCATCTATGGTGCTAGGTGGATATTGACAATATCAGGGGAAGCATTTTGTAAAGTATATAATTATTCAACCACTATACTGTATACCTGAAATTGATACAAAACAATATTGAAAGTAAACTGTAATTGACAAATAAAAATGGGTAAAAAAACAACAAAGAAAACCACATAGTCTTCTTATGGCATGGACCCACACCGTGAACACATGATGCTGTTCTGAGGTGCTAGGCTAGAATTGAATGGACTGTAAGTGTTACTTAGCTCAGAGCTAGTTAAACAGTCTATACTTTCACAATATATGGAAAACCTTAAACATACGTAAGTCCATGTTCTTCCTCTGGAATATACTTAATTTAGTCATCCAAGTACACAATTGCCTATCCTGTTTTGAACCCTCATTCTGGATTACCAAACCACTTTCAATAATCCATTCCAAAGTCTAAGATCTCATTATCAAGAAATTCTTTGTATTTGTTGGGAAACAGATTAAAACTATCTTCTTTTGTTTTTGTTTTGGACCAATGCAGTATATTACATAGCTTTTTTTTTCTATTGAGTGTACATATTATTATTTTTAAAATATATTTTATTGATTTTTTACAGAGAGGAAGGGAGAGGGATAGAGAGTTAGAAACATCGATTAGAGAGAAACATCGATCAGCTGCCTCCTGCACATCTCCCACTGGAGATGTGCCCGCAACCCTGGTACATGCCCTTGACCGGAATCGAACCCAGGACCTTTCAGTCCGCAGGCCGACGCTCTATCCACTGAGCCAAACCAGTTTCGGCTGAGTGTACATATTATAATAGCTTAAAATATGATGACTTTTTAAAGAATTCCTCATGTAGCTTATAAAATATTTTGGAGATAATTTGCAATTTTCCTCTGAAATCATACTATATTTCTTTAGGTAGGCTAGTTCGTCTTATCAATACATTACAGTAAGTATTTGCATACTCTGTTGTTTTATACAGACATTTATAAATTTTACACAGTGCTGAGAGTTTAAGATGACACTATGAAAAAACAGTCACTATTTCAGTGCAGTGCAGACCCTACATTTTTTCCAGTTTAAATACAATTTTGTAGTATGAGGGTGCCTGTAACCTCAATTGACAATAATTTAACTTCAGTAGAAATTAAAGGATTGCAACAGTGTATGAAATTACACTGGCAACCATGCCCGAATCTGGATTTCAGTGTAACAGTGAAATCCAGGATTGTGAGTTAAAAAAACAACAGCAAAGACACTTGTCTGAGTGTTGCTCAGATGACTTTCTTTTACTCAGAGTTACTCACGAGTTCCTTATTAGTTCTGTTTTTCTCTGGGGCAAATAACTGAATGTGTAATATAGATGGTCTCTGGTCAACTCTTTTATAGGAAGGTAAATCAGTTAAAGGGAGTTCATTTACTTAATAAATATTTATTGAACACTTACAGTGTGCTGGCCACTGTTCTTGGTCCTGGGGATGCAGCAGTAAATACAGCATTGCCGCTCTGGTAGAACTTGCATTCTGTGAGGATACACTGATTCTTAACAACCTATAACAATAAAAGTATAATATGCTAATTAGACTGGACAGCTGAAGGTCGTCATTCCGGACGAAGCCGTGGTGGTGGGGGCCGAGGCAGAGGTGGTTAGGGGCGATTAGGCAGGCAGGCAGGCGAATGGTTAGGAGCCAGTGGTCCCAGATTGTGAGAGGGATCGGGCCTAAACCGGCAGTAGGACATCCCCTGAGGGGTCCCGGATTGCGAATTTTGTGCACTGGGCCTTTAGTAAACACATAAAACATCAAGGGATATGAGATATAGAGTCTCATCGGAGAGAGATGAGCATGTATCTCAGGGTGGGGAGTAGGATTTGAAGTTTTCTTTCTTCTGGTCTTCTGTTCTAAAAGTGTTAGCCATCATTTTTATTCTAGCCTATTTTTAGTAAAGATCTTTTATACCAACTCAGCTGGGAAGATTAGTGGAGCATTGGAGATCTTTTGAAGTCTTAAGTATACTATATAACCCTGCATTTTTCTTTTCAGGGAGTGATCTTCAAAATGGCATCATAGGATTCAGTGAAGGGTCCCAGAGTGGGCTCGAGCTGGGTGAAGGAGCTGATAGAAACAGACTGCATCTTACTGTCACAAGGCAGCCAAACAGGTGTGTGTGTGCATGTACATGGAAGATGTAACAGCCTGTGTGTCTGTATTTGAATTCATAAAGTGGTAAAGGCAGGTTCAAATGTTGATAAAAAGTAGTGTGGAATTTGGTGTGTCAGTGTTCAAATGCTCTGGTTCTTAGTCTGTGATTTAACACACTTGGTTTAGGAGCATGACTTAGGGCTACCTTGAATGTAGTGTACTTCATAAGGTGCAGCGTATGTAAGTTATCACTGCATTGTATTTACTATAGTGTGATCACTCTGCATGCACAACCATTTACTGTTAGAGACACATGGAGCACCAAAAATTTTGCTCGTGACTTAATATTGTATAGTACACACATTCTGAATGCTCATCATATACATGCACTAGGTATGTACATGTACATGTATTATCTTTACAATCTGGGGCCTACATAATCTCTGAAAATGTAGGCCATCTCCTACCCTTTATTTTTATAACAACCGATTTTTTTAGCAGTTGTGTTTTTTCTTTAGAAGAATTATTATTAAAAGACAAATGAGGAACATTTACTTGGACCCAGAAGTTCTCTGTTATTTTCATTTTCATATTTCTGGTAAGAGACATAGTAAGCAGAAAAATATAATTATATTTTTCACATTCCTGATACACAGTGGTTCAATGAATACGTATTCCAGATTGAGTAGAGTGTGGTAAAATATTACTATGTACAGGACGTGCTTTGGATGAAGGGTACACAGGCCCTGTGGGAACACGTGGGCGGTAGAAGCATCAGACACAGGGTAAGGCACTCCGTTGCTGCATTTGCAAAGGTTTTGCTTTGCTCCTAGGGCCTTTGAAGATGTCAAGGTCTCCTGGCGAGTCACATTTAACAAGACGTCCCCTGTGCTCCAGAAGGACGGAGTGAACCTGAGGGATGCACTTCTCTCTGTGTCTGGGACCACAACCTGTGCAACAGGTCAGACAAAGTGCTCCATCACCATGGAGCTCAAACCTGGCAAGGTAAGAAATGAGGAGCCATAGCATTGTCAGTTTCTAGTTGTATTGCTTTAGAATTAGTATTTTAAAACCACTTTATCGAACACACATTGGTCATGTGGAGACTATGTCTCGTCTAGGTGTAATATCGAAATCTCTTTGCTGGGTGACAGACTTAGAATTGATTTCATTAGAGAATTTTTATAAATAAGCTCATTAGTGTATACTTAAAACTAATACTAGTTATATGACAATTATATCTCAATTTTTTAAAAAAGCTCATCAGTTTTCTTTGTTTCTGTTTCTTGTCATTTCTAAGATTCTTCCTGGCCCACCTGCTCAATGTGTGAATGGTCCCTTGTATCATTTTCAGCCAATTAGTATCTCTGGTTACTCTGAATATTTAGTGTTTTGCTTTTATTATATCTATAGATTTAATCATATCATGTCTATGGATTTCATCATAGGATAAAAGTTCTCTTCCTTCATCTACAGTTAGAAAGTTCCATTTTGATCCACCTAAGGGGCAGAGAGGCCATGCTTAAGTGTGGCCTCTCGGCCTTTGGATGAATTTCTATTGGTTCATGTTGCCCATGACACTCAGGAGACAGGCATTCCCCCTCTTTCCAAAGGAATCTGCATTATTCAGGTGGTATTGGCCACTGATGTCCTAACAGAGCCTTAGTCATTTAGTAATCATGTGTGGCTTTTGTTTAAAAAATGACTGTTCTGTGATACTTTAATGCCTAGGGAGCACTCAGTAGTATTTATTGTTTGTCTACTACTTAACTTATTAAACTCAAATATTTAATACAAAAACCAGTCATAATATTATGAATGTTCAAAAGTATATATATACATATATATATACACACACGTATATGTACATATACATACATACATATATATATGTATATTTAGAGAGGAATGGAGAGGGATAGGGAGACAGAAACATCTGTGACAGAAAAACATCAGTTGGCTGCTTCTCGTATGCCCCCTACTGGGGATTGAGCCCACAACCTGGGCAGAGCCCTGACCAGGAATCAAACCAGTGACCTCTTGGTTCATGGGTCGACGCTCCCTTGGATATGCCAAACATTTAAAACAGCAGAAAAAGCACACACAAATACAATTACAGTTGACCCCAAACATATGTTGGGGTATGGGTACCACCTGCCTTTGAAGTTGGAGATTCACTTCTAACTTACGTCAGCCCTCCACATTCAAGATTCCCAACTATAGACCAAAAATACAATTGACTTGAACAACACTGGTTTGGACTGTGTAGGTCCACTTATACACACCTTTCTTTTTTAAAAGTGTCAAATTCAACTAATTTTAATTATTTACTAAGTGATTTTCTTTTTGCTATTCAAATTGTCATGTCATGTCACTGAAACCCTATTAAACTGGTAATTTTCATTTTGCTTTAAGAATCTCTGGGAATTTATTTGCTTTATAGCAATAACATTCCACAGCCAGCCTGATTTTTCCTGAGCTAAGCCATTCAACCAATACTGCCCAAAAACATGATTTTTTTTTTCATCAGAAAGAGTTTTAGAAGTCTTAATCTATGGACTAGAGAGCTATGTGAGAATTAATGGTGGACCACCTTGATAATGATAGAGTTAGGAAATAAGTTTTTAAAATACTGACTTCCCACTGATTTTTTTTTCTAATTTACGGTATTTCATTAGCTACTAATATATCCTATCACACTGAAAAGGAGGAACTGAAATGTCAGTATTCAAAATATTTGATCAGTCCTGGCCGGGGGGCTCAGTTAATTGAAGCATTGCCCAGTACACCAAAAAGGTTGCATGTTCGATTCCTGGTCAGAGCACATACCTAGGTTGTGGATTCGATCCCCCAGTTGGGGTGTTTACAGATCAATGTTTCTCTCATATTGATGTTTCTCGCTCCCTCTTTTTTTCTCTTTCTCCCTCCCTTCTTCCCTCCCTCCCTAAAAACCAATAATAAACCATACTCTTGGGTGAGGGTTAGAAAAAAATTTTGGTCATATTATCTACTTGAAAACATTTAAATCCTCTTCTATGCATTTGTTCAAATAGTTTTATGCCCACAACCCCACATTTACTAAGTCTCCCTGAAGGACACCACTTTCTCCAGGATGCCTCCCTTGGTATCTTGTTAGAATTCTTAATCCTTTAAATTACTAAGACTATATGTAACTTTCTTATGGAAGTTATCGGTTTTAAACAGGGTCAAAATTTAATTTTATTTTGCCTAAATTTAGACTTATTTGATTCTAAATTTTGGAAAATACATAAAACTACCAAACTGACGATTTATTATCAATATTTATGTCTAACCCTTTAAAAATAAAACCTTCCTGGCAAAGTTGAAGCTCTCTTTTTCCCCTATCCAGAGCAGCTCCATGCCCTGCCCTGTCCCCAACCCAACCCCTCCACCTGAGCCAACTAGCCATGGCATTTTAATTTTTAAATATTTAAGTAAATATGTGTTCATTAATGATATGTGGTAAGCTTGATGTGATTTTAGCTTTACATTTATTGTATCATGCTATGCATACCATCATGCAACTTGGTTTTTCACTCATTCTGTTTTCAGATCCATCCATACGGAAAAATACTGAAATACTTCATTCCTTTTAACTGTTAAATAGCATTTCATTGTATGCATATATTTTATTTATACTTTTGCTTATTGAAGTGCACATAGATTGTCTCCTGACATTGATTTTTATAGTAAGAAGCTTACCCAGGGAGAAAAATGGTGTTTCATAAATTCCATAGTAATCTAACATAAGATTTTAATTCTGTAATCATATAGACTGTATTTCTAAATATTCATTTATTTCTGTAATTATGTATGAACAGTACCAATTATTAACATCAGAATTATCTAAAAATAGAAAAAATGGCAGTCTCTTTTTTTTCATGATCAGATGCCACAAGTTGAAACGCATTTTTTTGCGGAGCTGTACGAAGTCACTGCTGGAGCAGCGATAAACAGTAGCGCGAGATTTGCGCAGATCAGATTCTTACAGAGTGCTGAGCCTCGGAGCCTCGTGTGTTTTTCTGTGGGCTCTCGGCTACCAGTGGCTCACAAAAAGGCCACTTTAATCCGTTTGCAGGTGTCCAGAGATTCTGGGACAGGGCTAATGGTGTCTGTTAACTTCGGTACCCAGGTAAGCATGAGGTAATTATTAACAGTTAAGGTTTTCTTCTTTAACCATGGCATGAGTAGTGAAATAGAGAATGAGCAATACATTATTTTCTTACGATTGTATCATAAGTCACATTATATTTATTATATTAAACTTCATGTTTTAAAATGGTAGTGTTTTGTATTTTTCTTTCTTTCAGAAAAGTTGGTTGTGTAATGCAAACTGTCTTGCATAAATCTGTCTTATAAGATCTTTAGAGAGTTAAAATTTCTTCACAGTGTGACTATATAAGACCAGAAACAAAAAGCAAGGGTCTTTGTTATTGTTTATAGATGAACTAGTTGAAAATCTTCTCTGGAATTTCAAGCACCAACTGATCTGTATATTTCTTTAAATCCATGAGCTCATGTGGTGTTACTGCCACTTTTCAAATCCGTCCTATTAGGTGACATCAGGTGAAAGAGAGGGATCAGGTAGGTATCCAGGGACTCAGAAGAGCAGTACTATGTGACATGAAGTGACCAGATCCTGGGATTGGGTCAGACAACACCATGCACCTTTCCAGCATTATTTTTTTGTTAACCCTCCTCCAAGGATATTTTTCCATTGGTCTTTAGAGAGTGGGAGGGAGGGAGAGGGGAGAGAGAGAGAAACATTGATGTGAGAGAGACACATCTACTGGTTGCCTCCTACACAGGCTTTGACTGGGGCTATGGATCAAACCTGTACTCTGATGAGAAGGGAATTGAAGTTGCCAAAATAAGAATCTGAGTGCCAATATCTCTGTCATATTTATTTTTAGTCTTTCTAGATTCTTCATAAATGATTTCTTGCAAAACACATGCTGCCCCTAGCATGTAACTCATCTCATTTTTATAACACTGTGGGATGGAAATGTTCTGTATCGTGACTGTATCAATGTCAATATCCTGGTTGTGAGCTAGTACGATTATGCAGAATGTTACCAAAGAGGGCTGTTGGGTAAAGGGCCCAGGAGGTCACTCTATTATAGCTTGTAAACTGCATGTAAGTCTACAATTATCGCAGAATGAAAAGTTCAATTTTTAAAATTAGAAATAAAAGTTTTACTTCTCTGGTATTTTATTTCCCTATTGCTTCATTGCCTCTGTATTTTCTCTCTCTTAATGCTAGGCATAGTACTAGAAGGCAAAGACATATAATTCTATTTTCAGTAGCAGGCAAGAATGAGGAAATTATGGACCAAGTTGCGAGTCTGTTACAATGATATCAGTCCTCATTTTACCTCTTTAAATAGTTTTTCATTATGTAGTTAAAACAGTAGCTGTAGTGCACATACTCTGTGGGTCAGCAATCCCAGGACATAAATACTATAGTCTCAGCACTCGTTCTCTTATATCCACATATTTCTGATAAAAAGGTAAGGGATATAAAGTTTTGAGATAATGAAAATATCACTCATTCCAGTTAGTTAACATTAAATTCCATAGGCCTATAGCGAATCCAAATTTGAAAACCCATTCAAATGCTCTCGTTTATATGTGTGCGTACTGGCCCAAAGCACACAAGGAAGAGTAAGCCTTCCCTCCTATGCACACATTGCCTGTTGCAGGCAAAGGCTATTTCTGTGTTGCTTTCCATTGTTTCTTTTCAACTGCATAGTGCTTCTTGTTTTTATATGTATTTTATAAACACAAGAACATTTTGATGATTCCATTTCCTTTCAATGTCTGAATTCTGAAATAAATCCTACAGGAAAACAGTGGGCAGAATGTGTATGTGCAGTTTGTAGTAAAAAAAATCACCCCCACCTAGCTTAAGAAATGGAGCTTGATCAGGATCATAGAGCTAGATACTGTGGACCCTTCTCCTGCCTTTTCCTTGCAGGATAACCTCTCCCCAACTTGCAGGTAACCTGTATCCTGAATTTCATGTTGAGTTATTCCCTTGCTTTTGAATTATTCCCTTGCTTTTACCATCTACCATATGCTGTTTCAGTTTACCTCTTTTGGAAATTATGCAAATGAGATTCTGCCAACTGTATTGTTTGATGGTGCGCTTCTTTTGCTCAGCCTGTCCATGTGTATAGTTCTTTCACTGTCACTGTGACATTGTATTCCAATGGATACTTTAGTTTATCCATTCTTGTGTTGTTTCTTTCAACAAGGTTTTTTTTTTTGCTTTTTTACCATTTTGCTTCAGGTGTTCTTAAAAACCTTTTATCTTCATTGATTTTTTTTTTTCATTTTTTGGCCCACTTGGTCATTTCCTCTTTGTGGAAGATGCTCTTCTCCTTTGGACTTCTGGAACATCCCCCTTACCTACTCTTAGCCCTTACCTCACTGGCAGTTTCTTCCTGTTGCCCAGGTAGTCTTCCCGACCAAGAAGTAATGGGGTGCACCAAGACCGAGTATGTAGGCCTGTTTTCGTCAAATATCATCTATTAGATGAGAACTCCTGAATTGTTATCACCAGTTTCTTCACTACCCTGATCTAGACTCACATATCTGATTGCTCTACTTGACATACTCATTTGAATGTTTAAAAGGTATCTCAGACTTAATATGTATAATAAATAACTTTTGATTTCTCCCTTAACATCATTTCCCATTTTCCACTGTTCATCAAAGCAAACATCCTCAATTCTCCTCTTCCTTTCCACCCAACACTGTATTAGCCAGGAAGTCCTACTGACTCGACATTCAAAGTATATTTCCAATCTGTGCACATAGCACTCTTTCTACTTATACAACTCTACTTCAGTTATCTCTTCTCCCTGCCTCATGCATATCCCCTGCTACATATCCTTTATGTATATGTATTATATAATAATATATATGTATAATATTCATATACATATTTTTCAGAACAGTCACAAAAATATAAAATCTGTCACTCTCCTGGAAACCTCCAGGGTATTCCTGCCACACTTTGTAAAATGGATGTACATGATCTGGCCCCTGCCCACCTCTCTGGTGCCAGTTTCTTGTACTTTTGACCTTGTTCCAATCACATTGGCCCTCTGGCTCTTCCTCAGGGCCTTTGTAATTGCTGTTCCCTCTGTCTAGAATGTTTCCCCCTAGATCCTATGTGCCCTGTTCCCCTACACCAATGTGGTCTCTGCTCAAATGTCACATCAACAGCTTCCCTGAGCAACCTTATCTGAAGTAGTACCCTTACCATCACCCTCATGCCCCTGCCTAGTCTTACTTTCCTTCATAGAATTTATCTTCCTATAAAGTTATGTTGTTAATTCTATAACTTCTGTAGCATGTCCTCTGCTAGGCTCCGTGAGTGCAGGGGTTCTGTTGTTCCTATCTGCAACCACCGTATGCCGCCTGACAGGTATTGGGAGTTTAGTATTAGTTTGCTCATTAGTAAGCAAATTCACATTACTTTGGTTCTTCCTTGACTAAGTTCTCATGCTTCGATTTACAAAAAGCTTTTAATAACCACAATTCAAGGAAATGCAGGTGTGTGTATGCCCCAGGTCCTTATTCCTTAAGGTGTTTTCATATCTCAGTAGAAATGACAAGAGACCCATTCCTCCTGCTCCTCCTTTCTTCCCTCCGCTTTCTCTTTTCTCCCCAAACCCCATCTCCTCCACATTTCCAGGCAAAAATGCAGATTGAGCTTGTATTCCCTCTTTTCCTCCATACTTGCATTTGCAGCCCGTGTTATTTAAGCACAGTGTTCACAGTCGGAGAAATTCTGTGAGGTAGTCGGGACAATTGTAATTCTCTTTCTTGGTCTACTCTAAGGCATCTGTCTTTCCTGACCTCCTCACTGTTTGTTGTACATTTTCCCCTTTACCTGAGGAGATTAGAAAAAGTCTAAAACCCACTGATTTCGTTGTAATGTTGTCACGACCCGTCAGTCTAAGAAAAATAGAATTTGCTGAGTCAGGGTTTGTGTGGGACAAGATCAGAGGTGCCGCAGCTTCACTGAGGCGTGTTGTTTGATTTCCAGGAGCTGAGGAGCACCGAGACAGTGGGCCGGACGCTCATCTCTCCAGCTCTTTCTGGGAAGGATTTTGTGAGAACCGAAGGCACCTTGGTCTTCGAACCTGGCCAGAGAAACGCCGTATTGGATGTCGTCCTAACCCCAGAGACAGGGTCTTTAAATCCATTTCCTAAACGCTTCCAGGTTGTACTTTTTGACCCAAAAGGCGGTGCCCGCGTCGATCCCGCGTATGGGACTGCCAACATCACGCTGGTCGCCGACGCAGCCGCGCAGGCCGTGTGGGGGCTCGCGGAGCAGCTGCAGCAGCCCCTGGACGGGGACATCCTCCGCAGGGTGCTCCACGGCCTCAGCGTGGAGGCGGCCGCAGAGAGCACCGACGAGCAGCTCAGTGCCGTGATGCACCTAATACACAAGGTAAGCCTCGGCGCGTGTCGGCAGCTGGTTCCGGAAGGTTTCGTGAATTTGAAAAATAAAAACAAACACACATACACATTTATAATGTCAGTGATCATGAAATGATAATAGAGTGAAATTTCTGAGCATAGAAGTGGAGCGTATCATATCTGATAATGTACTTTTGCTTGCATGTGACTTACACCTGTTTGGAAACCTCAGTCTTTTTTTTTTAAATATATTTTATTGATTTTTTACAGAGAGGAAGGGAGAGAGAGAGAGTTAGAAACATCGATCAGCTCGGCCAGGGGTGTGCCCGCAACCAAAGTATATGCCCTTGACCGGAATCGAACCTGGGACCCTTCAGTCTGCAGGCCGACGCTCTATCCACTGAGCCAAACCAGTTAGGGCTTGGAAACTTCGGTCTTAAACTCAGAGAGTGATGACTTAGCTGCTGCCGCAGCAAGGATAGCCAGTGTCAGAAAAGGGGCAGCAGATGTCAGAAGCTACAGGCTCCGTCTGATTCTTCAGAAAGTGGACAAATACCTTTTGAAAGTGCCTCTGTTTTTTGAGTCCATAAAAAGAGAACTTGAACTAGATTCCCAGTTCGTCCTGCTTAAATGATACAGAACAGGAGCTTTTGCCCTCAGCTTGGTCTTTGCTCCTCCCAGGCCCTGAAAGCTTTCACAGAACAGAATAACTCAGCAATGACCAGATAACTTCAGGCATTCAAATGGGTATGGACTTAGACCAACCAGGTTTAATTTTAAGCCTATTTATTTGTTTACACTTCTGCAAATGGTGGAGTTAAATGGAGATGTTAGACCCTAAGAATAAATGAAGCATATCTAAAAAGCATCATTGTTAAAGGAAAAGACTCTTATCGGGGTTTATTTGAGGCTTTTCTTATAAAAATATTTATCCATATATTGATATACAAGGAAAAAAGATTTTGAGTACGTGCATATGAATTCTTAAGTACTATATTTCTTACGTGTGAACTTTAAATCCTAAAATGTTTACAACGGGGTTTCAGAGGGTCATGCCTACTTTACTTTTTATATGTCTCTTACATCCAATGCCTGAAGGGTAGGAAAAAATATTACAAAGCACACAGATAGGAAGAGGAGGCCTTGCCAAATAGTGTAAAGCGAAGAAAAGTGACTATTTCATGCAGAGACTTCTCTTCCTGGCACTGGAACCCTGGGCTGGGGAGTCTGCTATGGGTCTGGGACCCCTTGCTCCTCAGCGCGGTAGCTTTGCTGCCGAAATATCCCTCCTGATTTTTACCCGTCACATGTGGGTTTGGGACCCGCCTATTCTCTGCCCCAGTCTCGATGTCGCTTCTTTAAATCCCTGATTGTAGGACTTCCACTCAGCTAGATTTTAGGAGGTTCTGAGTGGTGGTTGTGATGTAGTTTAGTTGTAATTTTGATTTTGTTGTGGGAGGAGGCGAGTAGTTCCTACACCACCATACCACCATCTTGACCGGAAGTGTGAGTCATTTTTAATACATAAGTTTGAAGTGGAGGCCCAGAAGTCATACAGGAAATGATTGATAAACTTCACCACATAAAATTTAAGCAAAATTTATTTTTGCATATTTCATAAGCAAGATCAAAAGAAAGCTAAAGTTATATGTCAATTAGATCTCAATAAAACCTGGGATTAATAAAGTAAGAAAAATAAAGACAACTAATGGGTGTTGGGAATATTTATACAAATATATGTATAATAATAATGTTTATTTCAGCATAGCATATAATAACAAAAAGCAGAAAAAATAAGCATCATAAGAGGGGCCTGGGATATCCATAAAATGCATAAGAATTTTCATGTTTTAAACATATTTATAATAATAAGAAAATAAAACAGGCACCAAAAATGTATATGATCACACATAGTAGGGTCTAATTTTAGCAAGTAAATATAGTTAACTTTGAATTTCACAATGAATGAAACCATTTTTAGTATTTATATGAAACAATTATTGGTTACTTACCTGAAATCAAATAGAGTCACTTAAACTATATCTGGCAGCCATTCATGTATTTTAAATGCACTTAATATAAACTCTAAGATAACCTCAAATTCAGGAGTAGAACATTCATGTACTGGATAGAAGTTCATTCTACAAGGTTGTATATTTTAAGTAAAATTGTTTCATATTTGTAAGTTTTATTTCCCCCCAGATTTTAGCTTCTTTGAAACAGAATTTGCTCTATACTATATATTTTTATAGGAAGAGCTCAATAAATCTTACATATTGTTATTACACTCACCAGAAGTGACTTCTTATTTATGTTCAGAGGACACAACTCTGTGCAGAAGAGAGCATGAACTTTAAATGACTCACTGTATTTTGGATAAAATTCAGCTGTGGGTTTGGGCAAATTTTTGCTATGACAATATTCTTTCCTTTGATTTTCCTAGATACATATATTAAAATGAAAATTATTTAAAATGCTGTTGTTTTTAATAATAATTTTGGTCTTTTAAGACTGCTGGATTTGATGTGCAAAACTTAATTTCTTAGGGTTTTGGTTTCCAGGTTATGAAAGCTTGGTAAAACATGAGTCAAGAGGCGTTGCCTTTAATTTTGTGTTCTGGAACACTTGAAAGCACAGGAATAATATGTTCTGTGAAAGTTTGAAGGACTCTCCACCCCTTCCAAAGATCTCCTTTTTTGTTTTCTTCCTGACAGTTTAAAAAAAATGTTTTCCATGGTTGATTCAGGCTCTGTACTTTTTTGTAAGCCAATTTTAATAATTGGGGGGTGGGAGGTTCTTTTTATTGTTTATGTAAAAATGTCCCTTTAGAACAAAATATTCTTATCATATATTTTAATAATATATATCTTCTATTTTTAGAATGCTTTTTCGCATTGGATTTATTTTATAATCACACTGACAGTGATTTAGACTTTGTCTATATTTTACTCCTGGTTGTATATTTTGTGCTTGCAGTAATTTTGCCTGCCCTGGCTGCAAACTGAGCCAATGTGTGTTATTCTAGGACACGCAGGTAGGGGGATGTTTCCAGTCAGGGTAGGGGGGCTGTCGCAGTGCCTCATGGGACACTCACCATCTCAGAAAGCAACACATTCTCTTTCTGCCTCTGTTTCCTTATCTGGAAACAAAACAAAATAATATTAGCCCCCCCTTACAAGATTGTTTTAAGAATTAGAGGAGTTAGTATACTAGCTGAGAATAGCACCTCTATAAACCAAGGGTTATATAAATGGCCTTCTGGTTTTTGTGTGTTTTCCTAAAACTTTCTTTTGCCCTTGAATGTGCATGAATGGTTGGGTGGCTCTAGAATTTTGGATCACAGCCTTTAATTCTCACAACTCCACATGTTGCTCTGGTGGTTTCTGGCATTTCATTTGCAAAAAAAAAAAAAAATCTGATGTCAAATTGATTTTTTGTTTCTCTGTTAGTAGTTATTTTCCTGTCTGTTTTTCTGGTAAGATTTTTTTTAACTCTTTTAAAAGTCACCAGATACATCTGGTGTTATTTCTTTTTCTTATTTTCACTGGTATAAGCAAGCTCTGCATTTTTAGATGGAAGTATTTCCTTAGCTTATCAAGGAACTGTGTAGGTTTTACCTCTAGTTGCTCCTTTTATGTACTTGGTGTATCTTGTGGATTGGTCCCGTTTGTTATATTTTCTCTGAGTCCTGGGAGCATATATTGAGCTTATTTTCCATTGAACATATTCCATTTGTTTCGGTATCCAATGAGCTGTCCCCTGTCTCCATTGTAGTTTTTACTTTGTTAAATTTTTATTCTGTCGTTTTTATCATCTTTTCCTTATGGATTGTTCTCCATTCTGCCTTACTATCGTTGGGATTGCTACTCTTACACTTGGATTTTGAGTGCAGCCAACAGCTTGGTACCATATAGATTATAAAACTATTTAAAAAATGTGGGAAACATGAGCCACTTCTTCAATGAGCTAACTAGTAGGAGTAACAGACAAATCATTTCAACATTGTCATCATAAGTTTGTTAATAAAACTACGTGCAAAGTACAAAGGGAGTGATCATGTAAATGACCAGGCAGGTGGGGCCCAGTGTAGAAGTCATAGAGAAATGATGACTAATTTGGATTTTGAAGAATTAATAGGGGCTTCTCAGATATATAAGAGTGCGTGGAATAACAAGTCAGTGGCTTCACATCAAAGCTTGGGCAGACAATAAAGATGTGGCCTCCGTCATTCTGGCAAGGAAAAAGCCAAATCATGAAGCTATTTCTCCTCTTAGTCTCCTGTTCCCTCAAACAGCAAATAACCCAGCTCTTTAAGGTAGGAAGGCTCATACTCATGGAGTTCTTAACTACTCTTGGTTGGAATAGGATTTTCTCATTTGATGTTTCAGGAGTTTAGTGACATGTGGTGGTTTCTGTTCATTGAACACTTATAATCAAGAATAATCTTGCCCAGCCAGTGTGGCTCAGTGGTTGAGCATTGACCTATGGACAAGGAGATCACAGTTTGATTCCCAGTCAGGGCATATGTTCGGGTTGTGAGCTAGATCCCCAGTGTGGGGCATGCAGGAGGCAGCCGATCCCTGATCCTATCTTATTGATGTTTCTATCTCTCCTTTCCTCTCTGAAATCAATAAAAAATATATATATTTTTAAAAAGAATAATCTTGCTTCTATATGGACATTCTTGTATTTATTTCCTTAGTTGGTCAAAATAATAATCCTTGGGGTAGATATAAAAGAGATTAATTTTGACTCATGATGTTAATTATTGTAGTTAAAAGTAAGCGACCCATGCAACCATTTTAGGCTTAGTTTAGTTATTAAATAGAACATATTATGGTGATTATGCATTTTCTTTATAAATGATTGTTTATGCTTTTTAAAGTACAAATGGATATTTTTGAAATATAATTTTGATCCTGATTTCTCTTAAATTCTTCATAGGTTCATCCTTATTTTGTTAATGCTAATAACGGTTAATAAAGAACACAGTATAGTATATGATACATTATCATTTAAAGAGTTTATTAAGATGTTTTTTATATTTGTTTTTCCCCAGATAACTGTTGAAGGAAAAAAGCAAGCATTCAGTATTGAAAACCGAAATCTCTTCTATGATATTCTTTGTGCTCTTATTAACCCAAAGCGCAAGGACACTAGGGGATTCAGCCACTTTTCTGAAGTGACTGAGGATTTTGCCTTTTCTCTGCTGACCGATGTTACCTGTGGTTCACCGGGTGAAAAGTAAGTATCGTTTAATACACTAGCTGTGCTTTCTATGTTATTCATTCACAGTTTACAAAGTAATACGCAGTGCAAATAACATTTATATGATGTAACTAGTGACTATAGAGTTAATGCATTGTACTAGTGCACAAACGAAGTTAATTATTTGAAAAAAAAACACAGTAGTTACATCAAGAAAAATAAATTATAAATTTATCCTGGCAACAATATATTCCTCCTGTTTTTAAGGGTCTTTTATAAAAGGCCTTTTCTTTACTCTTACTCCTATAATGAATAGAAGATACAATCTGGAAAAAAAGGAAGGTGATTCCCACCGTTAGATGTGTGCTTTGATGTGCTGGTAACAGGTGGTTCCCTGGAGCTGTGGTTCAGTTTCATCTGTTTGGAGGCATCTCTCAGAATGTTGTTGAACTTCATACTCGTCGTTTCATGGCAGAACGCAAGCAAGAGGAAAGGAAAAAATAAAAAGTGGCTCATGTTTATTAGTATTTATGTAATTAATTTTGTAACTGTATGTTAATAGTCTTTAGAAGTCATGGTGTTTTAAACGGGGTAAGTGTAGTACAAAGCTCTAAAAATGTTTATTTCTATTTGATTTAACATAAACATGGTTGATAATAAATAAAAAAAAGCGTGAAAAATGGAGATTTCCCTCCCAGTTCTCACTGAGTAGTATCCGTTATTTAAAAAGCAATGATTATTATTTAATGGGACATGTCTGATTTAAAATGTTTATATTATCTCTTTAAAGTTTAAGATTGTATTGATTGATTTTAGAGAGAGAGGAAGGAAGAGAGAGAGCATCAGTTTGTTGTTCCACATACAGGGTGGTCGATTCCTGTATGTGCCCTAACTAGGGATGGAACACTCAACCTTGGCGTATCGGGACGATGCTCCAACACACTGAGCTACCCGCCAGGGCCTCTATAAACTTTATTTTTTATTTATTGATTGTGGGGAGTGGCTACAGTGTTTTGGACAGGTTTAAGCCTTGGACTGATGAGAGGGCACAGTCTTCTCTGCCACATGCAAGTCCCAGCTTAGAGGGCAGAGCCCTCCCAGCACAATTATAGCCAACAGCTGTAGTTGTAAGCTTGGACCTATGGTCCGAACACATGGCCCCACGTGCCTGAGTGATGTGGGCTTGACAGAGTTCAGGTGCATGTAGTTGAGTAGGATTGAAACCCACGATAATGTTGTAAACATCTTGATCACGCCCTTACTTTGCCTTGTAGCATCTGCTATAAACTAAAGGCATGGCTGTGGGCGTGGTCGCTGTCTCAGAGAAGCAGCGTCCCACCGAGACCCGGCTTTCATTTTCTTGTCTGTCTTTCCTAAGCCTTTCAGCCGCCCCACTCAGGTTCACCCTTGGCTGTGCTGGCGCGGCACAATTGATGAACGCTATGATCAGTATTCATTAAGTTATGTCGATATTTGAAGACTAATTTTAAAAAATTGGTATAATAATTTAAATCATCTCTTTATGGGGCCCTTTATGAGCTGACATGTTATTTTAAATATTGTTTGTATTGTAAGACTTCTATCTTCTTAGATCACAAGACACGTAAAGTTCAATGAGATAGTCAACTCAGATATAAAAGTGTTACAGGATAGATCAAATAATAAAATAATTATAATAACTGATATTAACTATTCCTCTGCTCTAGTTCTGACACTGTATTAGATTGAACAATATGAAATTGCCTTTTTATCTAGATATTAACGGTATAATATATTAATTGTTATATGGATTGAACTAGTCCTTAGTAAAAGTTGTACATATTTTATTCCTGCAAAAGATCAGTTTAAATAGCTGTTCAAGGATAGGTTAGGGCTTTTATTATTCCTATTTACGGATGTAGAAACTGAGGCTAGGGGCCTTATACAGCTTGCTGGTGGTCACATGATTAGTCCAGGGTGAGGCCTGGGCTCAGTTCCAGGCCTGCAGGCCAATCCCAGGCCTACTTGACTCCACTACCCTTGCTGGCCTCTGTGCCATGTGGTCAGAAGTGATTGTAAACCACTTGCTTTGAAATAGATCTTCCATTCTGAGCCCCATGACTCCAAAGTGCCCTGGGCTTTCATCCTAGGTCAGTGCCTGGGTGTCACTTGAGGTTTGGGTACAGAACCAGCATCCGCTTACACTGTATTCTTTTAACCCTGATGGTCAAGACCTGGGGACTTGTTTTTCTTTTCTTTTTTTAGTAGATTTTTATTGATTTCAGAGAGGAAGGGAGAGGGAGAGAGAGATAGAAACATCAAGAATGAGAGAGAATCGTTGATCGGCTGCTTCCTGCATGTCCCCCACTGGGGATCAAACCCTAACCTGGGCATGTGCCCTTGACCAGAATCGAACCCAGGACTCCTCAGTGCATAGGCCAATGCTCTGTCCACTGAGCCAAACTGGCTAAGGCTGCTTTTCTTAACGAGGAGCATCATCAAAGCTCCTGAAAAGCTCTGCGTGCCCTTTCAGGAAGCCCCTTCTGCAGTCCTCCCCTGTTCCTAAATG